GAATAAACATGGAGCTTACACGCGTCCGTCTCTCTGCAGCAAGTCATGCAAAGTCAGCTTGGAAAAAGGGAAAACGGGACGTGAAGATGGATGACGTGCTGACAATCACACCAACCCGTAGATTTAATGATGATTACACGCTTCCATTCGATATAAAATGTAGAAAACCTCACCATTAGGGGGGTTGGTTCATTCATTATCCAGAGATAACTCTCTCTCTTGTTAAAAAGTAAGAGCAAAGTACTTTTATTAACTCTCTTGTAAGTCAGTCCACTTAGCGACCTGACCCACACCAACATCAATACAAAATCAGTGGACGTAGGATTTGCTACCTTAGCATCCGAACCACTTAAAAAGCCCCCTTTTCACTTTATTTCTGAAAAAGGCATCCATTGTCTCGAGCATAAAATTCATAAAACAGTGTCACCCACGTGACAATTGGTTGGTGCGCAAATCGAGCATCAACAAGTGGGATCTGATAGGGAGACATTCCAGGCCAATAGTATTGCAAATGCTTGAAGATTATTTACAGGGATTGGAGATACTCCGATGCCGCACTAAATGCCAGTGAACGTAAAGGATTTGATAGTTTTACCATTGGCATGGAAGGTCTTTAATTTTATTTGTAAATAATACCTGAAGAACTTTAGGATGCCTACAGAGTTTTTTCTCTAAATGTTGAAATGGATTCAAATACATATAACAAAGACATAATTGAAGGGAACTTGCTTTTGGGTTTTTTAGGAAACATAAATTTTCTCAGGAAGTCGTGATTTTTATATATGTCCTTGATGTATACCTATTTGTAGGTTTACCGTAAAGCTATTTCCAAAAATATTGCTTAGTATAGCATTTTAAATATTTAATTTACTACATAAACCCTACCTTTTAAGTTTCTAAATCGTTGAAACCTTTTTTTTTTTCGGTAACATTTTTTATTTGATGGAAACATATTACTGAAATCATGGAGAAAGTAATCACATAACGAAATGAATTTGAAACTGAAAAGAAAAAGTAAGTTTCACATGTGAAATTAGAGAAAAGAATGGTGTAAATAAAAAACCTAATTATGTTTGAAATTGCGAAAAAATTGTATAAACAAAAACCATAATTAAGTTTTAAATTAAATGGGAGTAAACCAAAAATAATAATAATAATTAAGTTTGAAATTAGAGAGAAATTGTGCAAATAAAAAACCTAATTAAGTAGGGTTATTTTCATTATTAAATGAGGTTTAAAGAGAATTTTTTTTAAAAAAAAAAATATACATATAATAAAGATGTATTTAGAAATGGAGGCATTGATATGGGCTAAAAGTCACTTCTCTAAAATCTATTGTAATAAAAAAAAATACAAAAAAGGTTTATTCATATCAAAATCCATATATACATAGTATTTGGGTAATTTGTAGATAGTAATGATCCTCCAATCACACAATCCTGAGCCCATTTAAAGTCTAGAAAATTAGAATGCCAATCCCCATAAGACGCCCACTCCACTGGTATCAGTGACAACACTAAGAAGCAAAAAATACATTTTCTCTCAAAAAGATAAAAACAAGAGTAAAAATGAAAAAAAATAAAATACAGAAAAAATTCCTCAGGTGACTAAAAAATTACAGCGGGTTAGTAAAAGTGGTATTTCTCCATGCCAATACCTGCTAAACTAATTTGACACAATAAGTATTGTTTTGGTAGTTGTTTCCAGTGGCCTTTGCTTTGTTAAATATATATAGCTGCAGGTTTAAGTCATGCTGCCCACTGAGCGCCATTAAAGAATGTGGAAGATGTAACTTGCCATCCATTGCTTAGTGATGCTCAGAGAGAGGCCTTCCATGCCAATTGCAATACAAATGCCTCCAGTGCCCTTGATTTCTTCAGAGGATGAAATGGATGCAAATTCATCATGTATAAAGATAAAATTGAAATAATTGAGGAACTTCTCCTTTCCAATCAATAAATAATTCATTATTCTTCTTCTCGGAATAAAACAATTTACTCTGAGAAATTTAAAACTAATTTGATTTGGATCAGTCGACCTCCAAAAGATCCTGTGTAAACAAGATAGAGGCTTTAGTATTCTAGCTTTTTAAACATTCTTAAGGACAATTCAGTTAATTGAAGTGCCACAATTCCATCCACTTGTAAAATGCAAAGAAAAGGAACAGCAATTGAAGCAATTAACTAAATGTTGGAAATTCACTTGCTGTTGCTTGCTTACAATGCAGCTGACACTTGCAAACACTCCACGATAATTTTTTTTTGGAAATATTGATGAAAGCTTAAGCTTGAACATGATATCTGGTTATCTTAACTATGATTTTTGCTAGCCTATCAAGGGGTTTAGATCTTTACGTGTTCCCTAAGTTTGTTAATTTCCTTCTACCGCTACTTTATCAAAAGTCGTTTCTATCTTGGTGCTAGGTTCGTCCTCCTACCCTACAAAAAGTTTTGGTCTTTACGCGTTTCTATGAATTAATTATCTTGACTTTGAATTGACTCTCAAGTCTTATTGCCGTATCCAGCACAACAGCCAATGAAATATCTTGGTCACGAGTTTCTCTTGCTATTTTATGAAGATGAAATCTTATCCATCCGATGGCAATTTATAATATATGAGAATGTTAAGAAAGTGTCTTCTCTGAACATTAAATCCCATTCCTTTTAAATAAATGTGAAAGTTCAAAGTCTTTAGGTCTTTATGCATTTAGGCCTTAGTAATTAGACATGACATCTTTAATTCCATCTTTGACTATAAGCTCCTCTTGCTACCCTATTAAGAGTTCCTAATGGGCTAAGAAAGACCTCTATCGTCAATAATTTGGTTCCAGAAATTACAAAGGAAGTTGCATTTGAACATGACTTGATCTTAACGACCCATACTTTATATAGGTTCCTCTTGCTAGCCTATATATAAAAAGTTTCTATCAACAGCTTAGGTCTTACGCGTTTCCCAAATTTGTTTTCATCACTACTACAAAAATACACAAAGTGGACGATTAAAAAGACGATGTTCGCGTTAAAAATGTCTTTAATAACACTTTTAGGCAGTTTTATAAATTTTTTTTTTTTTTAGTAAAAAATATATTTTGTTTAAACTATCATTCATGCTAATACTTCATACATAAGACTAATACATATAATATCTTTCACTCTAAAATTAGATTAATCATCTACGTTAAGTAAAAGATTAAAAGAAATTAAACGGTTTTCAAATGTTTTATAAGTTGCTAACATACTTCAATAGAACTTTTTTTTTTTTTTCTTGATAAAGGGGTTTTCATGTTATTAAGAACAATTTAAGCATCCTTTATAACCTTTTTGGTAGTACTACATATATCTGTCTCGACTTTATGTTCCTCACATTTATCTTAACTTAAGTTTGGTAAACTTCCTTCTCATAGCGTACCATTATTGAGAAGCCCAGTCCCAAAATTCAAATTCAAATTTACTTATTTGGTTAAATTAAAATTACTAGGGATTAGTAAGGAAGACCCCATATCCCAAAAAGATATGATATCCTCAGAAGTAGTTTCAACCTTTCCGGGCCATATCGCGTTTCATACGGCATCTTGACTGACCTTTTGTTTACGTTAACCTAACACAATTTGACTAGGAACAGCAGCAACTTCCATGCATTATAAAGACTCTGTGCACTCTGTTTCTTCCAATCGCGTCAAAACCAAGTCTACTTCCCGGCATGTTGACTTGGAAATGTGAAGTTTAAGCCACTAGATATGATTTATGCTAAATAGCAGGAGGCCCCAATGAGAAATTAAACGAGTTTGAGACGTGACACTTTTTCTTTTTGTTGAATGGATGCTAACTATGAATGTCTAACACTCAATTACTCCTCTCAGAACATTCTTTCCTTATGATCAAAAGACTTATAACTGTTGGAAATGCTATAATGAGTGCTGTGTAAAAGCTTTTGAAAGTATTTCTGTAAACTAAATACATATTAAGTGCTTCTTCAATAATTATTTTATAACCTTTTTTTTAAATATAAAATTACTTGTACGTTGATCAAATTCCGTTGTATTATATAAAAGTTTAGGAATTGTGACATCTAAGGTCCAACACTTTGAGGTTGAACCAAGTTTGGTATATGAATATGGGATTCATATACCAAACTATGAAATGATCAAAATGTTTTGGTTGACTATCCATAGTCTTTGATAACAAATAATTTATTAGACTACTAGCGATATTTCATTGATTACTCCCAAACTTATCAAATTTATACTAACAAACTAAAAACTTATAAAAAAAATATATTTTTAACTAAACAAACTTGAAGCCGGGATTGGCCTCACGAACCCATACAAGACCATTCTAAGCCTCGTTGCAGTCACTGAGGTTAGATTTGGCCTCATCACAACCACGAGAGGTGAGATCTAAAATAATAGAATTGGTGAAGAATAAAGGAGGAGGAAGCTAGAAGAGAAAAAGAGGGATGAGGAAAATAAAAAAAAGAAAGGAAAAATGCTTTTGATTTTCAAAACATATCAAATGCCAATAATACCCTTTGGAAAGGATGGAAATATCAACAGTACCCGCTTATTAACAAAAACTAATGAAATGGGAGCTAAGATCAAATTTCCCATAACAGTAGGCGTTCTTTGTCATTTCTTCAAAGATACGGGGTCGACAAATAAGCCATTAATGAAAGTTTACATTCTAATGATTTAATTACTAAAATTGTAAAGTTTGGGTATCAATTATTTGTCACAAGCCTCAAAGAGTCTGCTTTCTCTGTTCCCCAAAGTCCATAATCATCTACCCAACTCTACTTTCTCTGTCCCTTTTCTCTCTGTTTCTCGTCATGTCCCTTGTGCCGTTTATTTTCTTCTTCCTTCTCTTTCCCTACTCAGGAGCCGAAAATACTTCAGTCGTGAACAGTGATGAAAATATATATGAATTCTGTCCACCAACAAAATGCAGCAAAAACGGCCCAAAAATCAGATTTCCCTTTAGGCTGAAATCTCAATCAATCTCTTGTGGCCTTGAAGGGTTTGAAGTGTCTTGCTCAAATGACAAGACTATGTTGCATCTTCCTTTTTCCAGCGGTTACTATGTGGAACACATTTCTTACCTGGACAGAAGTATTACCATTATGGATATGCATGATACCACATGTCGAATACAAAGTCTTCTCTCTCTTAACCTCACAAACTCTAGATTCTCCCTCTTGGGCGATCTTTACGGTAATACAACTTCGACGTACGGTTTGTGGAACTGCACTATGAGGATTATATGGACATCTACATTTGGTTTTGAGGAAATAGGTTTTGGGAAAATAGGACCGTTTGATTGCATGAGCAGTGACCGAAATTTTGTTTACGCAATTCTTGACTGGGACATCTCAGAGATGCCTCCATCTTGTAGAAGGTATAGAACAGTTAACATTTCCATTTATGATTGGTATCAAAAGAGTCAAACTAAAAAGATAGTCGTCGAATGGAAAGCCCTTGATGGATGCTACGGCTGCGAAAAATTAGGAAACTATTGTGGCTTCAACACTACAAGCAATTCAACAATCTGCTTCATAAACCAACGTAAGTTACAATTTGGATTCCTGAAAGTACAGTGTGAAATTTCAAGTGAAATTACTTTTACCCAGATTTCTATCATGTTTTTTACACTAATTAATTTAGTAGATTTCTATCATGTTTACTCAGATTTAATTTAGTAGTACGTTATAAATTTTATTTTTATCAAAGTTCATGATGGATTAAGGGATGATATCTTGGTAAGAATAGTATTACTAGATTTATATTTTAATGAATAGAATTGAATTAGTTACTTAATTCTTTCATATTTTGAAATAATTGAACTGCCTATATTATTGAACTAGTATATGTATGATATGATATTTTCATCTGATTAGTGAGATGTCTCTCTGCTTTTGACATTGAACCTTTATTTACCGTATGTTTTCCCTGCTGATCATTGCAGTACCTTACTCATAAGTTTTAAAGCATTTTCTGTTGCTGATTTGATCTTTGTGAAGAAAATTCAAAATTCTTGAAACTTCATCGATGGGGTGCACTTCTTGCACCATGTTGTTTTAAGCAGAAAAGAAGAAAAAACACAGAGCAAAGAGGCCGTGCACTAGGAAAAGAACAACAATATTACCTTTCCGAACTCAACTTCATGTTTAAAATTAGTTCATTTAAGATGCTGCGTGATAAGAACTTTCAATAATATATTTTCAAAACCAGTTAGTATAGCTCTAAATGCTACTGGGAATTCTCATATTTCTGAGATGATTTTCTTTTCAGTTCTAAACATTTTAAAGAATTTCTTGTTCATCTTCTAGCTATACATGGAGGATATGAATCCTGCTTGCATCAAGCACCCTCCATCTCATTTTAGAATGCATCTAACTGATCTTACTGCTCAAACAAGTTAATAATTTTTCTTTTTCACATGCAGATCATGGTCGTGTAGTCAAAATTGCATTGTCTACGGCCACAAGTATTGGAGGCATCATCTTCTTTGCTCTAGTAATACTTCTCGTGTACAAATCCAGAAAATCTGAAAATGAAAAAGAAATTCAACTGAAAGTAGAGAAGTTCCTCGAAGACTATAGGAGCCTCAATCCGACTAGATATACTTATAGTGACCTTAAGAAAATTACTGGTAAATTTAGGCACAGACTTGGTCAAGGAGGTTATGGAAGTGTCTTCAGAGGAAAACTCTCCAACGGAATTCCGGTTGCTGTTAAGATGTTGGAACATTTAAAAGGAAATGGTGAAGAATTTATTAATGAAGTGGCAACTATAGGTAGGATTCACCATTTTAACATTGTTCGTCTATTGGGATTTTATTCAGAAGGAACGCGGCGTGCTCTTATCTATGAGTTCATGCCTAATGGATCACTTGAGAAGTTTATATTCTCAGATATAAACAAGTCAATTCAGCGTCCATTGAGTTGGGAAAAGTTGCAAGGCATTGCCATTGGTATTGCACGAGGAATAGAGTACTTGCACCAAGGATGCAACCAAAGGATCCTTCACTTTGACATCAAGCCTCACAATATATTACTTGACCATAATTTTCAGCCAAAGATTTCAGATTTTGGGCTGGCAAAATTATGCTCAAAAGAACAAAGTGTTGTATCAATGACAGCTGCTCGAGGAACTATAGGCTACATAGCTCCAGAACTTTTCTGCAGACACTTTGGAGAGGTTTCTTACAAGTCTGATGTTTTCAGTTATGGAATGATGCTACTAGAGATGGTTGGATGCCAAAAGAATATTGATCTTACAATTGATATTGAAAGCCAAATTTACTTTCCTGAATGGATATACAACAAAATGAGCCAAGGAAAAGAGCTTAATTTAGAAATTGAGGTCGATGGAGATGAGGAGATTGCCAAGAAGCTTGCAATTGTGGGACTCTGGTGTATTCAGTGGAATCCAACAAAGAGGCCTTCCATGCCAATGGTGTTACAAATGCTTGAAGGGGACTTGCAAAGCTTGGAGATTCCTCCAAAGCCCTTCGCTTCTTCAGACGATGAAATGGATGCAAATTAATTATTTATAGGGAAATTAAATTGTAATAGTTAAAGAACTTCTTTCAAATGCTTCCACGCATAAATAAATTCATTCTCCTTGTAATAGCACAACTGAAACAGAGTGTTTTGAGTTTGGGATTGATTATTATATAAGTTTGCTCAGATTTTTATGTACTACTTTTATTTAAGTTCAGTAGAATCTAATAGGGAGACCTGCCATGCCAATAGTATTGCAAATGCCAATACTAATGAATGTAAACTAGAGAAAAGGATTTGATAATTTTACCATTGGCATGGAAAGTCTTTCATGTTATCTGTAAATAATATCTAAAGAACTTTGGGATGCCTCCATAGTTCTTTTTTAAATGTTGAAATGGATTCAAATTGATATAACAAAGACATAATTGAACGAAACTTACTTTTTCATATACTCCATATATAAATAAGACTCATTCTTCTCTTGTATTAAAAAGTGAACTGTTGAGTGTTCTTGAATCTTGATTTCCTGAAAGATACAGGAAATAGCTTTTGGATTTTTAGGAAACATAAACTTTCACAGGAAGTCGTGCTTTATTTATCTGTCCTTAATGTATACCTATTTCCAGGTTTACCGTAATGCTGTTGCTGAAAATATTTGCTTAGTATAGCCATTTATTTATTTGTATATACAGAAACAAAAACTTGATTACTTGAAGCATGCTTTCACCTGAAAAACGACCTGTATAAGAAGGAAATTTATATTCAATTTTTATACCTTCATTTTTCATATACTTAAACGTTGAGTGTTGTTATCTAAGCCTTGTCTAAATTCTTTTTAAGCCCATTATTTGTTTTTGAAGATTTAAGAATAAGAACATGATTTTTAGCCTCCATCAAATTTATCATATCCCCCAATTTTAAATGTTTTTTTTTTTCGTTTTGACAATTTTAACCTTAATGAAATTTACTAGAAATGACAATAATTTCTAAATATACTCATACCCTATTATATAGATATATTATTATTATATTATTATATATATTATATATAATATAGATATATTATATATATATATATTTTTTTTTTTTAATTTTAAACATTTAATTTACTACATAAAACCTAGTTTTTAAATTTCTAAATCATTGAAACTTTTTTTTTTTTAATTTCAAATATTTTTTTGTTTGATGGAAATATATTATTAAAGCTATGGAGAAAATAATCACACAACAAGATGAGTCTAAAAAAAGAAAACATAAATTTCATATATGAAATTGGAAAAAAAAAAATGGCATAAATAAAAAAACCTAATTAAATTTGAAATTGGGAAAAAATGGTTTAAACAAAAAATTAAGTTTGAATTTAGGAAAACAGGTGCAAACAAAAAAAACTTAATTAAGTTTGAAACTAGCGAAAAATGATGTAAATACAAATCCTAATTAAACAGGGTTATTTTCATTACTAAATGAAGTTTAAAGAGATTTTGTTTTTTAATTATATATATATATAATAGAGATGTATTTAGAAACCAAGGTATTGATCAATCAGGTAAATCACTTCTCTAAAATCTATTTTGTATAAAAAAATTACAAAAATGGTTTATTCATATTAAAATCCAGATATATATATGTAGGGGTTGGTAATGTGTAGATAGTAATGATACTTTAATCCTACAATCTTGAGCCCATTTCAAGTCCAGAAAATTAGACCCCATAAGAAGCCCAGCCCACTGGTATCAGTGACAACACTATGAAGCAAAAAATACATTTTCTCATAAAAAAGATGAAAACAAATTCCTCAGGTGAGTCAATCACAGCAGGTTTGCAAAATTAAATCGTTCTGAAATGCTTTCCTTTTTAATCTGCTCAAGAGAATGTTTTATCGTTGCTCTACTACATTTTATTTTTCTTTCACTATAGACGTTTATTAAATTTATCATAACCACATTTTCAATCACCTTATCTGGTAATATCAACATAAAAATAACTCTTAAACTTGGTGACCAGATACTTAAACATGGAATGGTGTTTTATGAGATAAATATGGATAAAAAAGGCTTTTCTGTGTTGTTTAGATAACTTAGTTTGATTTTCCTTTGTAGAAAATGTGGTTTAAATTGTCTTTGAATGTTGCAAAGTTTATGTTCACATAACTTTGTCTCATTTTTTTATTTTTGGTGACCAGGGGTGTTCGTATCAGTTTGTGCGTATTTTGATTAATCCCCTGAGGCCCTGAAGTTAACGATTGAGTACACATTCCAATGGCCACCGCTATTAGCAACTAAGACGAATCGAATTCAAGACATCTTGAGTAATACACTTAAGAGTACATATGACCCCACTCGGGCACCTAAGGGTGATTTTTTTTTTTTTTTTGTAAACATGATAATTGTCTCTCCCACGACTCGAACACAAGGCCTTTGGATATAATTAACCTAAGTGATTAAAGGGCTTGTCATATGACTTTGTCTCATGGTTCTTATGTCACTTTGTCACATTATGTTTTCTTTGGTGAATCAAGGGAGATTTCAAATTTTCATGAATTTTAAATTTCAAAACCTAAGAGGAGGTTCCGTTTATCCTTAAAACAAGACGATCCGCTTGTAATTAACTCAAACCTCATAAGAGATAAATAAAAAAAAATTGCCAACTTTAAAATCAATTAAATCTATAATGGCTATTTTGTCTTTGTTGCAGAAACAGTTGGGCCTGCTCCATAATGTGATAACTTCACTCAGTACTCATACATCACCATTCACCACACAACTTGCAAAGCAATAATGTTATCCTCTTGACAGTATGTTCTTGACCACATCCTGTTTTGTGAGGCCATCTTTTTAGACTTTGGGGTATACGCCAATTGGTCAATAAACTTTTTAATTGTTAGTTCCAACAGCAGTTTCAGGATCACATCGTGAACCTTATTTGTTTGTTCCTTTTATTATTATTATTATTATTATTATTATTATTATTATTATTATTATTATACTCTGTGTGCAGTGTGTAAACCAAGAAATGTCAATCCATAGCCACTAGAGTACTAATTATGCGCAGAATGACAAGGCAACATTATAAAATATGAACAAATAATTTTGTTTTCTAGCGAGAAAACAAGTGGAAGATGTGCACTTTCTCTGGCTTGGTTGGCGGCCCCTTATGCATCGAATGAATGCTAATTCTTTAAGCACAAATACCATTTATTTACATTCAATTGTGAAATACCAAGAAATTATTATTGCATTTTGGGTCATCTCTTTATTATTTATTAAGTTATAGTTGGGTTTGTTTGTTTTTGACTTTTTTAAGTGTAAACAAAATCAATTTTATTTGACTTTTATTTAAGTGTAAATACAATCATACATAAATAAAATACTAAAATATTTGACTTTTATTTAAGTGTAAATACAATCAATTTTAATTAGTCAATTAAGATGTTTTTGTATTAAAATAAAAGTCAAATATTTTAGTATTTTATTTATGTATGATTGTAGATAAAAACCAAAAGTAAACAAACATAAGACATGTTTGACTAACTAAAATTAGCATTCATTCAATGCATATTTTATAATGTTGCCTTGTCATTCTGCGCATAATTAGTACTCTAGTGGCTATGGATTGACATTTATAAAATACTAAAATATTTGACTTTTATTTGAATACAAAACATCTTAATCAGATTGGTGACAATAGACAAACGACTCAAGACTTATAATCAAATATTGAAAAAAAAAAAATTAAAACAAACATATTCATCAAACTTGTATATTTAAACAGATTCAGTTAACACACACGTTCAGCTTTTAGAAAAAGGCCACCTAAATCCTATCCAATTTTGGCTTCCACATGGTGCTCAAACTTGGTGTTCTAAACTTATATTGGATGAAAAGTAACACTTATCTTTCCATAGCATATTGTTTATTTAAATTGATCATGAGGAAGGAATCATCATCTTCTTCAACCTTTCTATTTTTTCCTCTTTTAGATTATTCTTTTCCTGAAAAAGTAGAGGGCCGTGTTATAATTCAGTAACTTTTTATTATAAAAAAACATTAATTTTAAATATAAATAAGAAAATTGGACCAGAAACTTGACTTGGAATGTCAACTTTAAGCCGCTAGATTTTTTTATTTATGCTAAAGAGCACGAGCCAAGTCTCCATTTAAGATTCACCGACTTTGACCATTGAAAATATAACTATTTAAAATTAATAGTCATTATCATATTAATTTAGATCCAAAATTAATAAAACAAAAAAAACTCAAATTTTCCAAAATAATCCTTCATATCTATTTATTTCAAATTAATAAAAAATAATTGATCCAAATAATCCTTCAATGACGGCCGTATCTTTGGCCGTCGAAAAAGGCTATAGCAACACACGATCGGTCAGATTCGACCGGTCTACACTGTAACGTCATTTTCGGGCTGGAATCTGGCATTGTGGGTGGGGGTGTTTTTGTCATTTTATAAAATTTTTATATATTGAGGTGTTTAGTTAAATTAACAAACCTATAGGGTTTTTTGTTAAATTTTAAATTTTACCTCGTAATAATCACCCTATTCAGCTACCCAATATTCTCAAATTCCTATCCAAAATAACAAACCAAACAGACCCTAGGTTTCTTTAGGTTTATTTTTTTCAAGTTTATAAAAATGTTGGATAAAAAGACATAAATGCCCTTTGACCATTATGTTCAATGATTGAAATTGATTATCTGGTGAAACGTTGATAGTTTTCAAAACCGATAGTACCACTTTGTACTTTCGTCAAAACTAGGGTGAGAAAAATAATTCAGCCCAAGAAATATTGATATGTAGAAAAAATTTGGTTTCGGCAAGAAAACAGATAGGAGATGTGGACTTCGTGAAGAGAACCATGAGAGGGGAAGGATCATTTTGTTTATCCAAATTCATTTCATCCTTGGAGAAGAGAACCATGAGAAAGGAAGGATTATCGACTATTTCAACTTTTCTTGTTTCCGTGTTGATCTTCCTGTTCATCGGTGAAAAACAAGCAAGAAAACTTCAACAAGTATGCTCTTCTTCATGTGGACACATCAATAACATAAGATACCCTTTTCGCCTCAAGGGCGATCCAGGGGTATGTGGTCATCGTAGCTTCGAACTTTCTTGCAGGAACAACCAAACCATCCTGGAATTTCATTTAGGAAAATACTATGTGAAGGGAATTTCACATCAAGAAAATATAACGAGTGTTGTTGATGTCAATTTAAGCAGTGGAACTTGCCGTCTTCCCTCTGGATCTCTGTCAGATGAGGATATAAAGAACGCATTCTTCAAAAATGGTAATTTTGGACTAGAACTAGACAGTAACTACAGTTATGCGAGATTCTTCAGGTGCTCTCAGAATATTAGTGATCCTATTTTTACAAGATTTCCTTGCCTGAGGGAAAATCAATCTGATTTTAATGTTACTGTTTCTGAATTGTCGTATCAGTATCAGTCTTGCTCATTAAATGCAGTGACTCCTATACATTTGGAAACTGAGGTGTTCGCTAATATGACAGAGAATTATGAAACCATCCGCAAGTCTCTGCAGTAAGGTTTCATTCTCACTTGGTCCTTTGAGTGCAGGGATTGTCTTGCCCCTGATGGCACATGCAGTGTAAGGGCAGGGACAACAACATATTTTCCTTTTTGCAGAAAATCTACAGGTTAGCAAGTTAGTCTATCTGCATATCTATTCATCATTCTTCGGTCTCTTACGTCTTTATAAGGCTTAAACTCTATTTCTTTTGCTCTAATGCAGATCCTTTCATTAAATACTTGCGGGAAAATATATATGTTCCACTCGTTGGATCCATTCAAGCTGCGCGTATAATTTCCCAGCTGGAACTCCTTTGCTTAATATTGCCCTGAGTTACTGGATAATATAGCTTCATAAGGCTTAATTTTTTATGTCTTTGTGGGTCTATGCAGGTGGTGGTTTCGCTAAATATGAAGTATATTTCATGGATTGGTATGTGAATATGGGATTCCTCCTTGGACAGCTTCTGCTCGGTATAATTCCCAGGCTGCGGTTAATTCCTGTTTGTATAGCACTGACTATGATTAAATACCTCAGTTAACTCTCTTTACTTTGTTGTTGGGTTTGCAGTGGTGGTTCCAGTGGTTCTTATTTGCAGATTTATTGGTGCTCCAATAGTTTTAGTTGTGTACCTCATCTTCAAATATAGAACAAAAAGGAAGAAGGTTGATACTGTGGAGAAATTTCTGCACAATCAGCAATCCTGGAGGCCAAAAAGGTACACTTACCCAGAGCTCATGGCCGTGACAAACAATTTTAAAGAAAAACTAGGCCAAGGTGGCTTTGGATCAGTTTACAAAGGAATACTTCATAGTGGTTCTTTAATTGCCGTTAAAGTTCTAGAAAATTCCAAGTTTAGTGCAGAAGAATTCATCAATGAAGTCTCTACAATTGGTAGAATTCACCATATCAATGTGGTACATTTAGTTGGATTCTGTTCAGAAGGATCTAAACATGCTCTTGTGTACGAGTATATGCCAAATGGATCTCTTGATAAGCATATATTTTCCAAGGCAGGCAGATCTCTATCATTTAGTTGGGACAAACTATACGAAATTGCTCTTGCAACTGCTCGTGGGATCGAGTATCTGCATGGGGGATGTGATGTGTGCATTCTTCATTTTGACATTAAGCCACACAATATCTTGTTGGACCAAAATTCCATCCCAAAAGTCTTTGATTTTGGACTTGCAAAATTTTATCCAAAGGAAAATGATTTTGTGACCATTAGTGCTACAAGAGGAACAATAGGATACATAGCTCCTGAATTGATTTCAAGGAATTTTGGAACAATTTCTAGCAAGTCAGATGTTTATAGCTTAGGAATGGTATTGTTGGAAATGGTTGGAAGTAGAAGAAATTCTGATATGAAGGCAGCTGGTTCAGGGAAAGCATACTTCCCCTCATGGATATATGACCAAATAAATATTGGAGGAGATTTAGAGCTCCAAGATGTCACTGAGCATGAAGTCGTGATTGCAAAAAAACTTTGTCTAATTGGGTTATGGTGCATACAAGTAAAGCCTTCAGATCGTCCCTCAATTACAAAAGTTATTGAAATGTTAGAAGGGAGCATTGACGATTTGCAATTGCCTGCTAAGCCTTTCTTTTCTTCTTCCGAGGATGTCTCTATAAGAATGATTCAATCAGACTATTCAACCGGGTGGCTATTATCTGAATCAATGGAAGAATATTCATACAACAATACTGATTCATAATAAGTTTCTTTTTGCCAAATGTAATCGAATAGAAGTGAATATATATACTCACCGATACTCAATAATAGAACAATTATGTGAAAAGTAATTGCTTATGAGCTATGAAATGATCAAAATGTTTTGGTTGACTATCCATAGTCTTTGATAACAAATACTGTATTCTAACACGATCCATTATTGGCCTCATCGCTGTCACTGAGGTTAGAGCTTGCCTCATTGCAGGCAACGCGAGGTGAGATCTAATTATAACAGAAATGGTGGGCATGAGAAAAAGGAGGAAGAAGAGATGAGATCCAATACTTTTTATTAGAAAAATATGGAAATATAAATAATAGAAGCTAAGGTCACATTTGGCTTCCCGTACCCCGCACCAGCTGGTGGTCTTTGTCATTCCAAAAGAGACTGCTATTATTTTGTAGTTGGTGGTCTAAACCATATTTTTAAATGGCGTTTGCACAAAACTGAAAGGAGACTGCTTTTATTAAACCAAGACAAGACAGCCAAGCACTCTACTTTCTCTGTTTCCCTTCATGTCTCTTGTTCCGTTTATTATCTTCTTCCTTCTCTTGCCGTACTCAATAGCCCAAAACACTTCAGTTGTAAGCAGCGATGAAAATATATATCAATTCTGTCAGCCAACAAATTGCAGCGAAAACGGCCCACAAATCAGATTTCCCTTTAGGCTCAAAACTCAACCAATCTCTTGCGGTCTTGAAGGGTTTGAAGTGTCATGCTCAAGTAACAAGACAATGTTGCATCTTCCTTTTTCTAGCGGTTACTATGTGGAAGACATTTCTTATCTGGACAGAAGTATTACCATTATGGATATGAATGACACCACATGCCCAATACAGAGTCTTCTCTCTCTTAACCTCACAGACTCCAAATTCTCCCTCCTTTATAGCTACTACAATCAGATGTACGCTTTGTGGAATTGTTCTACGAAGATTATATGGAATTCTGCACTAGGGCCGTTTGATTGCATGACTGATGAGCGAGGTTTTGTTTATGGCATGACATACGACTGGTCAGTCGACTCGAGGCCCCCAGTTTGCAGCATGTATAAAACTGTTAACATTTCGATTGAGTTTTGGTATCAAAATAATCAAACTAAAAAGATAGTTATAGAATGGGAAGCCCTTGACGGATGGTACGACTGCGAAAAATCAGGGAACTACTGTGGCTTCAACACTACAAGCAATTCAACGATCTGTGTTATAAACCAACGTAAGTCACCATTTAGCTTTCTGAAAGTAAAGTGAAATTACTTAATTCTTTCCAAATTTATACATGATATGATATTTTCATTTAGTAATATGTCTCTCTGCTTTTGATTATTTACAGTATGTTTTCCGGCGCTCTTGATTGTATTTGTAGGTAGCTTACTGATAAGTTTTAAAGTCTTTTCTGTAGCTGATTAATTAGGATAAATATTTGTTGGCAGTAAAGAAAAACCCCTAAGAACTTTGGAAAGGTTTCTTATAAGTATGATGTTTTTAGCTACGGAATGGTGTTATTAGAGATGGTTGGATGCCGAAAGAATATTGATCATTCAATTGAAAATCAAAGCCAAATTTACTTCCCTGAGTGGATATATAATAAAATGAGCCAAGGAAACGAGGTTGCTTTAGAAATTGAGGTAGATGGAGACGAGAAAATTGTCAAGCAGCTTGCAATTGTGGGACTCTGGTGCATCCAGTCCAGTGGAACCCAGCAGAGAGGCCTTCCATGTCAATGGTATTACAAATGCTAGAAGGTGAGTTCAAGAGCTTGGAGATTCCTCCAAAGCCCTTCGTTTCTTCAGATGAGGAAATGGATGGAAATTGATCTTGTATAATGACATAACATTTGTAATGTTTAACTAACTTGTTTCAAATACTTCCCAAGCATAAATAAATTCATTCTCCTTATAACACTGCAAATGTGGGACTCTGTTGCCAAAGGGACATTCTTGTTTTTAGAAATTAAGGTAGATGGATATGAGGAAATTAAATTTGTAATCAAGTTTTCTTTAATTTGTAATAATTTTTAAGAATTTCATGCAGGCATCAAAACAACAAACCTCATAACAAAAATTTAAGAGTAAAGAAATGAAGATACCTATGTTTAGCATACATAGGACTCGGGAACTGAAATATTCAATAACAACCTCACGTACAAATCGTCTGTGAATTGAAAGTTTTGATTTATTTAACTTAAATTGGCAAACAATACAACAATATAAATAGGCAGTAGCAGTACTTGTGTTTATATAAAAAGTTAGCTCCCAATAATCTTTAAGCATTATCAAATAGAAAGAAGATGTCGAACTTGAAGAGGGTGGTGATCATCATGCTTTGCGTTCTTCTAACTTGGTCAATCTTGGTGAGAGATACGGAGGGAAACAATATCGGGTATCTACCCATTAATAAAGGGGATACTGTTCCTTGTGGCCCAAAATCTCCCCAAGGATGTAAAGAAGGACCTGCTAATCGATACCAAAGAGGATGCAATCCAGCAACCAAGTGTCGAGGGGATGCACTACCTGTACTTGATCCGAAGCATAACGAAAGGATGACAGCTACTCCCAAAAAAGATTAATTCTTAGACTGAGTGGCTCACAACTTAATTTTATAAACTCTCTCTTACAACTCTGACGTGATAGTTCACAATTAGTCATACGAGAAAATTCATTAGAAACTAATAACGAGTTACCACATCAGATTTGTGAAAAAAAATTTGTAAAACTGAGTTATAAGTGTAGTACTACCTATTCAAATAAAGTGTTTCCATTCATTTTTCTTTTATGTTAATTTTATCATTCATTTTTTCCTTGTTTTTACTAATAAATTTATAAAATTTTGTTTACAATTTTATTTCACCTAATGTACGTGGAAATAACTTTAACATTAGGATTATTATTATCCTAGTTTATTAAGAAATAAAAAAAACAAAAAAAAAAAAAACCTAACTTTTAAACTTATTTTCCTTTAACTTTCAAAGAGCAAAAGGCAAAAGCCCCAAATCTTAAGTATTTAAGTTATTAAATTAAAAGTTAATTTAATATATGAAAGAAATTGTATTCACAAATTAAAATTTGAAATGTAAAAAATTAAAATTCATGCAAAATTATGCAAGTTCGAGTCATAAATCAGGTATCTGGTTTTTGACCCGAATAATCAAGTACTTGAAAAACCAAGTACTTTTACAAGTGGTTCGGTTTGCAGGTACCCTTTTATTCGGGTACCCGGTTTTTCAGACAAAACCAATTTGGGTATCTGGTTTTGCGCAACCCTAAATATTTATGCCTCGTTCTTTTTATGATAAATAAAAATTCTAGTGGCTTAAACTTGACGTTTCCAAGTCAAATCTTCCAGGACATAGTCTTGGTTTTGACAGGATAGGGGGAGACCGAATCCACAGAGTGTTATATATGGAAAGCTACTGCTGCACTTGGACAAATTATTTGGAACAGATATAAATTGACAAATTCTAAATTTAGAAATTATCTTTGCTACACAAATTGTAATATATCACCAAACGGGTTAAACAAAGCACAAGGTGATTATAACTTCCTACACAAAAACTTCCACTGATTAAATAATAGGAACAAAATTTCTCTAGAGAAACTAGAGGCATACCATCAACAAAATTCTTCACTCAAAAGTGAGTAATAACAAATTGCATCAAACTAGAAAGTTTGAATACCCTCACAAGAAATGACGATCCAAATCGTTTGATACACAGCTTAGATCATCATCAACAACATACTAAAATTTCATTGAATTCAAAGGAGGTTTCATCGTTGGATTGTGAACAGTGAACTCCTTAGGCCAAGAAAAAACTATTTTCCCTCCTTATGTCCACATTTTCCTACACCTTTTGTTTCATACCTATTTATATGGGTGGACAGCCCAACACCCTGACATTGTGGCAATAGTTATACACTATTACTTCGTTAAAATAAATAACAACAAAACATGATGTTAAACAAATAGCTGCATTCCTTATAACAACGAAGACAGCATAAAAACATGCACAGTGATCACCGATGCTTTCAGCAAACAGAGCCCGGAAAATTGAAAAAGCTATCTACTTCATCAAGTTCATATAAGATAACACCAAAAACTATTCATGCACCATTAACAAACAGCTTAATAAATCAGTAAAAATTAAAACCACAAAGCAGACTCAATTGAATAGAACTAAACTAATTTGTCATTGTAATATATGAAATTTTATGATATCAAGAAACTAATTTGTCAATGTGGACTATATGTACATCAAACGGGCACAACACTACCTACGATTCCTTCTGGGACCTTCAAAGAATGAAGACAGACCAGTTTAATACCTACAATTCCTACTGAGACCTTCAAAGAATGAAGGCTACAAAAAGTGCCTGCTTATCACAAAGCCTTCAACAATGATAACCGCTAAAATCAATCTCCCCGTGCAGGGCCCAGCAGAACCTATCTTCAACATCAATTTGAAAAAAAGAAAAAAAGAAAAAAAAACAAGATATCATCAGAGGATGACCAATGTCCAAAGAGATAATAATGATCATCGGAAAATGATCAATCTCACTGCAGGGCCCAATCTAGTTTGTCCAGTTTCTGGCTACTGCTGTCTCCGAAATATAGTTGCTGAGAAAATAAGAGTAATCACCGCATTGACATTAATGTGCGAACTCTTTTCTCCCTCTCAGCTTTCCTAGCACTTGGGGTCCTTTTCAGTTTATTCAATTCCTCCATTACAACTCTCTCAACTTTGTCAATTGAGTTCAAAAGTTTCTTCTGAGGTGTGAGAGACTCTAACTCTCCACCAGCCTGATTTGTGATATCAAGCAAAATCTTAGGCACCTTACCAACAGAGGGCTGACAAAGCTTCTTATGCATCGTTGGGGACAGAATTGTAGTGTTGTGCTCTGGCTGAGCACCTGACAGTGGCTTAGGGGAACCAACTACTCTTTGATCCTGAGACATTGGACTCTCCATCTGTAGGCCTTCAACTTCTCCCAAGCGAGCTCTTCTCCTTTCAATCGCCTGATGAAAGCCAGAGTTAGAAATCTCTATATATGGACTTAGAAAGCCCCAAAAGGAAAGGGGAATTATAACACTGAACTGCAAAAAGAATTTACTTTGACTCAAGTTAAGGCCAATGATATCTATGACTCGAGCATTTATGAAAAAGCACAATGACTCTATGGCACTTCAAACAGATTGCCAGCAGGGTTTCACTGGTTGAATGCTTAGATTAAACAATGCAGAACATCAAACAGGAATGCATTTCACTTGAATGCACAGGACACCGTGAAGATTCTCATGGCCAAAAAACAATACACAACAACTTTATAACGTTGACCAGAAGGCAATGCTCTGACACCATCCAAAGAATTAACCAAGCAACATCCATGCAGCTCAAGTTTAGAAATGAAAATATAAGAGCAAAATTCGGATTCTTGTACTGTTGTTGATAATAATGAATAAGCACAAGCAGTCAACTTCACTGTGGCAAGAAATGAACCGAAAATAATCAGCTTTGTCAAATGAATTTTAATACGTACGGAATTTATGAGGCAAGAACTCAGCATGTCATTTAATTCACTACCAAGAACACATGATTAAGAGAATGAGTCTCTTCAAAACAAGGATAGCGCGTGATTAAAAGGAAAAATATCTTTAACACAAAGAAAACAAATGCTCAAAATAATACAAAACTGTCTAAATAGCAATTATTTAATCAAATCAAGGGTAGATGCACAATAGAAATCTTCCCTAGATTTAAAAGCATCATAAACCAAAATAATTATAAAATGAAAAAGAAAAGATTAACATATCCCATTAAAATCCAAAACACACAAATCGAATCAGATGCAGACAAAAGCAAATGGAAAAAGAAAAACCCTAATTCACCAAGCTTTAAGGAATATTACCAAAATCCGTCATAAGAAAAATTATCAAATGTCCAAAAACTTAAACACTAAAAGTCAAGATTCAGTTCAAATCACAGCAACATAACCAAGATTGACAAACATACCAACTACCACTATAGAAAATGAAATTAAACGTCCAAGAAAATAAAGATAATAAGAAAATTACCCTCACAACAGTAGTAATATCCCTCAGAGGCGTCCTCGGGTACCAAGCAGGCAACACAGAAGATCCTCTCCGAGCACTTCCTATCGGCGTATTTTCTCTTCCCATTGGTCCACGTGTCGCCGATGCAAATCCGTACCCATTTCTTCTTCCACGGCCGAACGCGCTTCTCGGGGTCCCCAACCCACCACCTCTTCCTCCACCTACCGATTGTCCACGCGCCGCCGTCGTATTAGCCACTCGAGTGGCTGGAGATCCCAAGTGATTTGAACTCTGTTCTGGTTCGTCTCTGAGAATTCCGAGAGTTTCAGACCTTCTCTGAGCGAAGACGGTCGCAATGTCAACTGGCCTCACAAGTCTGTCACGTGACTCCGGCATTTTTTCTTCGGTTTCTTGATTTCTTCTGAAAAGAAAATGTATTCACTATTAGGACTCCAAACATTATTCTGGCAACAGATAATAAATTTTTTCTGAATTCTCAAAAAAGAAATCACATTTTTCCGTAAATAAAAATTTTCAAGAGAAAATGAGAATTTTCTAGGGAGCCAAACAGTGCCATTTTACCTTGGAGTAGAGAACAAATGAAAGAGATAGAAATGAGTGATAAAGGGAGAAGTGAATTTGGCAATTTTTTCAAATGAAAACATGAGCGCTTTTAATTAAAACTTCAGCACGTGCCAATATCTTTCAAATTTCAAATTTTGCGTAAGAGCGGGCGTTTTAGAAAGGCGGGGTTCTTGCTGGTGTTATGACTTCTTTACCCCTTATGGCATGATTTTTATTTTAATTAAAATTATTTTAATAAATTTTTATTCCAAAAATACCAGTTCTCTTATTCTTCTCAGTTCTCACCATTAATGAAATTCTTAATATTACTAGATTTATAATAAATAAATAAATAAATTGTCATCAAATTAAAATATTATTAATGGATGGATTAAACATTTCAATATCATTAATTAATTAATTAAGCCAATATTTAATTAATCTATATTTTTTGGGTTGCCAATATCATCATTTTTTTATTACAAATAAACCACAAAGACAATCTTGAGATTACTGAAAAAAATAAAGGGAAAATAAAAAAAAACTATTATTTTAGATTGATTGAATCGCATGAATAAAAAAGGAAATTTTAATATGTTATTGGTGGTGATCTAAACTTTATATTTTACGGTTTGGATTGTTATTAGAGATGGCAATGGGCCGTACCGTGCCAAAATTTTCAAAACCCACCATGCCATGGGCAGTGCCGTACCATGCCAAAAAAACCAAAACTTAAGGCTCACAACACGGTCTATGACCTGATAAGGTCGTGCCATGTCATACCTTCATGGGCCGGCCCACAATTGTAATGGCTACATTTGATTTTTATTTTTATTTTTAAATCCCCAGCCCACAACATGACCTACATGGCCCACGGGCCATGGCACGACACAAAAATTTGTGGGCCGTGCTAGCACATGTTGTCATTTATTCTCTTGTTTCACTTTATAGGTGAGTATACCCAAATTTTATAGTTTGATGAATTTTGTCATGTAGAATTTTGTTGAATTTATGCCCCTAATTTCATATGGGGAGAACTTTGTTGTAAACCATTATTTGATTAGTTTTAAAAGCTTTATACGTTAAACATCGGTGATTGATAACTTTTCAAATAAGAAAGGAGGTCAGGGATAAGTTTACATACCTTTGCAGCGTGAGTAACTACAAGTAACTAAAACCTCAAGCCAGGTGTGGGATAATAATCCTAATATTAAAATTATTTCTATGTACATTAGATGAGATGAAATTATAAACAAGATTTATAATTTTATTTATAAAAACAAGGGACGATGAATGATAAAACAAACTAACATAAAAGAAAAATGAATGAAAACAATTCATTTTCTTTTGTTATTTTATCACGTTAGAACTGTGAGAGAGAGTTTATGAGATTAGGTTGTGAGTCAATCTTTAGTGTATTTTAATTTTTTAAACAACTAAGGTTAATAATTATTCTTTTTTTGGAGGAGCGATTTCTTCGTTAAGAGCAGGTGATGTTTCCCGTTGGCACCCGGTTTTTGGATTGCATCCTCTTTGGTATGGATTAGCAGGTATTTCTTTACATGCTTCGGGAAATAATGGGCCACAAGGAACAGGATCCCCTTGATCAATGGCTCCATACCCGATATTGGTTCCCTCTGTATCTCGCACCAAGAATGACCAAGTTAGAAGAATGCAAAGCATAATGATAACCATCCTCTTCGAGTTCGACATCTGCAGGTATTTATATTTCGATGAATAATGGTTGGGCGCTAACTTTTTATATAAACACAATTAGTACTACTACTGCCTATTTATATTGTTGTATTGTTTGCCAATTCACCGAGGTTGTTATTGAGTCTTTTAGTTCCCGACTCATGCGTTGATTTGTTACAAAAGATAAAGATAACTACATGTATATATGTTGTAAAGATTAGAACTTTATCTTCATTTCTTTACTCTTAAATTTTTGTTATGAGGTTTGTTGTTCTGATACGTGCAGGAAATTATTTTGACTTAACAGCAACACTCAATTGGCATCCTTTCTTATATTAAAACTTATCCTTGACCTCCTTTCTTATTTGAAAAATTATCTGATACCTCCCTCTCATTGGCCTTAATTGATAGATTTTTTTATCTTTGGTCTCCTTATTTCACACCACCAACTCCCCCATCCCCCCCATGAGATCAATTGATAACTGCGTATCCTAAATATTAGAACTTTATCTTCGTTTCTTTACTCTTAATTATTTGCTGTGAGGTTTGTTGTTTTGATACGTGCATGAAATTATTTTGACTTAACAAAAACACTCACTAATGTAAGAATTTAAGCATTCGGGCCAACTGTTGATGTATGCCAAATCCAAACACATAATAGGTGTATTCTTAGAGGTATTATTTGTTTTAGACACTGGGGCCTACACAATTTTGTCTTGAAAATGCACCTCTGAGCACCGATTGTTGATGTATGCCAGATCCAAACTCATGGTGGGTGGGTTCCCAGAGATACTGTCCACTTTGGGCCTTGAGGCCTGCACAATTTTATCTTGAAAAGGTGTCTTGGGTGGCGAGGGTGTCCTTGTGCTATATAAGTGACCAAGGCCCTCGTCTCCTAACCAATGTGGGACTTTGGCACCAACACAACCTAGTTTTGTCTTGAAAAGGCGTATTTGGGTGGTGAGGGTGTCCTTGTGCTACATAAACAACCAAAGCCCTTGTCTCCTAACCGATGTGGGACTTTGGCACCAACACAGCTCCCCAAGGGGTGAGGGACTTGGGAGTGGCCCAGGCCCTCCTTCTAAAGCCAACTGTTGATGTATGTTGGATCTAGACATATGGTAGGAGTTCCCAGAGGTATGTTTACTTTGGACCCTCACGGTTTTGTCTTAAAAAGACGCCTCTGGGTGGTGAGGGTGTCCTTGTACTATATAAGCGACCAAGACTCTCGTCTCCTAAGCGATGTGGGACTTTGGCACCAACAATCATAGTCTGACATTTACAATTTCAGTGTCCACAGATCCAGTGGAATCCAATAGAGATGTCTTCCATGTCAATGGTATTACAAAGGCCAGAAGGTGACTTCAAGAGTTTGGTGATTCCTCCAAAGCATTTTGTTTCTTCAGATGATGAAATGGATGCAAATTGATCATGTATAAAGAAATAAAATTGTGGTATTTAATTTAGGAACTTCTTTCAAATGCTTCCATTCATAAATAAATTAATTCTTCTTGTGATAACACAATTGAAATAGAGTGTATTGAGTTTTTGGGGTTGGTTTTTATGCATAAATAAATTTCTCAACTTACTATGATTATCTTTAATAAACTAAGTAGAGACTTTTATTCTGCAAACTTAAGGCCAATTCAGTCAATCGAAGTCCCATAGACTCATCTGCAAATTATAAGTCTATACATAAGTTGCATATCAAAGAAAGAAAAACCCTGACTAGCTACGGCCTACAGGGGCAGAAATTGCGTAAAATTTGCCATTTGCTTTCCTATCAGAGGATATAGAATATGTAGAACATCTTGTGGGCCTCGATGGACATCGAAATCCTGAAAACAGTTTAAAGGACAAAGCCTGANGTAATGACTTCTTTACCCCTTATGGCGCTTAGACATTTTAGGTTTATTTGTTAATTTGTATCATACATTTATCTGTTAGTTTAAAATTCTAATACAATTATATTTTCTTATACATTTATCTGTTAGTTTAAGAAGAAGAAGTGGGGGGTTTTAAATTTAATTGATTCAGATTTTCATACTTGAATTTAACAATTAGGTTGAAAAGTGGTTTACATTAAATGACATGAATTAATTTAAAAAATGACAAGAACAAATATTAATTTGAAAAGTGGGTTAATAAATGAAAGCTGCTGTAATTCTATTCATCATCAACAAACTCGTTTCAATAAACATAAAAATGGACACCATGTCTCAATCGTACACTTCTTTTCTACATGATATAAGATTCTGTTTCTGTTGAAAACAATCAAACCCTAAATTAACATCATCGTTCCAAAAATTAAAATAAAACAACAAAAAAAAAATGCATGTTCAAAATTATAAGGACAAGCAACACCCACTCTTCCCTGCAGAATTCTGCTCCTGGCTAGGAACAATAATCCTAGTTCCCTTCAGAAGCCCCAAGTTTCCTCCAGATTCATCTTCATTTGCCGTTAGGGACTTCTTGCTAATTATCCTGTATATTTCTGTTAGCACTGTTAAAAATGCTGTTTCAACGTTTGTTGCTTCCAGAGCTGACGTCTCCATAAAGAAAAGGTTTTCTCTTTGAGCGAATTCTTGCGCATCCTCTATTGGCACTGCTCGAAGACTTCCCAAGTCACACTTGTTGCCGATGAGCATAATCACGATATTCTTATCAGCATGCCCCCTCAGTTCTTCCAGCCACCTTGCCATGTGGTCAAATGACTGACGCTTGGTCACGTCATAAACTAACATTGCCCCAACTGCTCCTCGGTAATATGCACTTGTCACTGCCCTGTACCTGCGGAGACACAATTGAGGATGACTTCAAGAACCACAAACTAAACTAGATTCAAGCTTCATGTCATCTTGATATAACAAACAACCCCTAAAAAGCTTGCAATTCTGCTCGGGAACCGAGATACCCTCTAGCAGATAGGATCAATTATTATATGGATTCAAATGGAACATGATCATTAAACTTTTCTCAGCAATTGCAGTAAGAAAAACTGAGCTAACTGGAGCAAAAGTGGGATGTGACCAAACTCTTAAAGCAAGCCGATTGTTATGCATAATAGGTAAAAACTACTTAAAGCAAGCCGATTGTTATGCCTAATCAGTAAAAACTTCTTAAAGCAAGCCGATTGTTATGCCTAATAGGTAATAAAGCAGATTAACTGTGTCGTTCCATTCTCATTAATATTTTCAAATAACTCATTTCCTGAAAATAATAACATAGAAGTGAAGAATCAGGTAAACCAAAGCAGTGGCATGAAAGTAAAAGTCGGTTCAATCATAAGTTACACAGTTTTGAAGAACTATTTAGCCAATTTGTATATGGAAACTATTAAGTATCTATCTAAGTAGAGGAATTGTTTTCCTTTCTTTTGAATATCAAGATGCCAAAAAAAGACATTGTTCATGTGACTCTAACCTGGATGGGCAGATTTTGTTATAGTTGAAAGAATTGGGAGCTTGAGAAGATTGTCACTTGTCAGGTTTCTGAGGTTGACAGCCTACTCTTGAAATTACTTCATTGGCTTTTGTCGGAGAACATGCATTTGATGGTTGCTGAAACGAAGGACCAATGAAGAGATGGTTCGGTAGAATGTTGGGAATGAATTTGGGTTTTCAAGACTGAAAATATTTACCTCTCATACGGTTCAAAACCTTACACATTAATCTTGCTTCAAATCTATTAAAAAACAGTTAAATAGATATGCCTCCAATGCTAACAAAAAGCTATTGGAGAATTTTGATTAGATTAACTTATCGAGAAAAGAACAGATTAGCCCTAATGATACAAGAAAAAATTTAGCCTTCAAATATAAGGACAAGGATTATCAATATACTGCTTTGTGATGGAGACAAAAGGACAACAGAACAAGGATAGCATCTCAAATGTGGAACGAGACTTGAAAAATGCAGAAAACAGAAGGAAAGAACAAGTTTGGACGATAAAGTTTGGAGTAAGCCAGGGTTCCTTGCCGGTAACAAAGTTTTATCAAGAAAGGCAAGATAAATTGTTCAACATGCAAACAGAGAGAAGCAGGTATGAGGTATGATTATCAGGTAGCAAACTTCCACACAGAACCAAAATACATATGATAATCACGCTGCTGATATACAGCAAAATCAGTAAGAGCTAGAAGCCTAAATAGTACTGCTTTTGTTATGCCAGTTGGGTTAACATGACCAGATCAAGCATAAATTTTAGGCAGCATTGCACAACAAGTCAATCTTAATTGAGAAATTAATATCTACGTAAGCAACAAGAAGCCTCTAATGGTACCCAAATTACACAAATATGCCGTCCCCAATCAAGGATCAATCTGCATTGCACATTCTAATTGTGGATTTCACTTAAAAGGCTGAAGACATTTATAACATTGCAGCTGCAACAAAGCCCTTTTAGACATCAAAAGCTATGCAAGATGAACCATATCAACAAGCTTTTTGAGACTATTTGGGAAATCAAGATATTTGTGCATTTCCCAACATGTCTTATCTTCTCTTTATACTGCCACTTGTCAGAACTAGATCCATAATCAATGCACATATTCATGGCTTGAGCTTCAAGCAAGAAATGAGAAATAGTTCTTCTGTAACTCTCAAGCAGGTTGAGGGAATTAACATGAACAAAAACTTTGTTTCGTCTACAATAACGGCACCATTCCAGAAAACCTTAGAGAAGAAAAGCACCTGACAGCTTTAACTAACTCCTCATATCAGACTCCTCTTGAGCCACCCAAATTATAACCTAAACCAACCATTTGCTTAGCAATGCCACACTTTACCGTATAAAAGGACTGCTTTTGGCACCCTTTAACACAAAGCCATTCCTATGCTACCCACTTAGCACCTCTTCATTCGGGTTCACGTGAGAACCAACTGATCATTTTTTTCGAATTCCTAAAGCATAAACCTAAATTGCAATTTAAAGGACATCATTTAGCCAAAAGATATTAAAGGCATAACTTGTAAAATCCAATTTTAAATGTGACCCCATTTGAATCCGAAAACAAGAAATTAAAATTGGAAGATAAGAATGAATACCTTTCCTGGCCAGCAGTGTCCCAAATCTGTGCTTTAACCGTTTTGTGATCAATAGCAAGCGTTTTGGTCTGAAATTCGACACCAATTGTTGCTTTAGAATCGACGCTAAATTCATTTCTAGCGAAACGTGCGAGGAGCTGAGATTTTCCCACGGCGGAGTCACCAATCAATACCACTTTGAACACATAATCAATCTTTTGATTGTAATCTCCATACAAATTTGACATTGTCAATTACCACAAACAATATCAAATCTCCTCTCAAACCCACAAATATGGACCTGAAAAACAACACAATTTCGTAAGATCAATCATGTGTAGACATACATCGTTGAACAAGATCTGAAGCTCAAATAACGATCAAATGAGATTGGAAATTGTTTTCTGTGAAGAGGGAAATATGAGACCAACGGTCAATGCGGGGGGCATTAACGGTTTGCTACTTTGCTTAGCATTGCTAATGTTTTGGTGTATTCAGGAACAGCTTAGTTTGGTGCTCTTGCAACTTATGGAATGATTTATAATACAAAAATTGTACATCTTGCAGTCTTAGTTAAAGAAAGAAATCATTGTTATCTTTTTTCTATAAACATTATTATATGCTAGAAAATATTAATAATGCCGTGATTTAAACATATTTGAGAATATGATAGTTTTTGTTTGTATAAAGCCAATTAGATATTACAGAAAATGACTACTGTTATTGGGCTTGATCAAGGCCCATGAAAAAATTATTCGGCTTTGTTTGCACTGTCACCAGGTGGACACTTTAGGGAGCACTGATTTCTTTCTGGAATTCCAGTAAAATGTTATTAAAAATGACATTATCAATTCTAAATACAGTCGTACTTTTTTTATAGAGTAATGCTACAGTCACCGACAGTAGTACACCAAATTTATGCACCGAATAACTTGGTAAAATTTGGTGCACTACCGTCGGTGGCTGTATTATTTTCTTTTACCACGTCATTCGGTGCACAAATTCGGTGCACCACCGTCGGTGGCTGTATTATTTTCCTTTTCTATATTTTTTCTTATTTTTAACCTTCAATTTTTACATAAACACCAACTTTAATTTTTCATAATCATAGAAATTTTTTTTTTTGAAATATTTGTTTGTTTGATGAGAATATATTATTAAAACTTTGAAGAAAGTATTCATACAATAAATATGAATATAAAGAAGAAAAATTCAAATTTGAACTTGAGAAAAGATAAAAGCAAAAAACATAATTAACTTTTAAATTAGAAAAAATGGGTGTAAAAACACATAATTAAGTTTTAAATTAGGGAGACTGAGTGTAAACCAAAAACATAATTAAGTTTGAAATTAGGGGAAAATAATGCTAACAAAAAAACCCTAATTTAGCTTAAAAGACCATTTTCGATATTAGTTAGGGTTTAGAAAGAACTTTTTAACATACAAAGAGAGAGATATATATATATATATATAATGCTTTTATTCAAGCAAGGAGGGAACCAGAAATAAGTTTATTTAGAAATAAAAGATACCGATAAATTAGATGGGACTGGAAATCATTTCCCAACCTCAAATTCTCTCGTATACTTATGAGTTCGTAGCAAAAAGATAAAAAAATAAATATTGCTAATCAAATAACGAACTCCTGGAGTGGTGGGTTATTTGAGAAGAAATGAGCTTGCAAACAGAGAGTTGTTGGCTCAAAGTCAGAGCTAACTTTAAAACATTGAAATAACAAAGGCTTACTTGAAGCCTTTTTAATTTCACAAGATTACAACAAATGTTACTGCTAAAAATGTTTTATGTTATGAAATTTTCCTTTTTAGTTTCAATAATATGTCATATGATCTTATACCATGTTTTACACCAATTTTACCCTTTCTAAACATGAATTCTTACATTTACCACTTGCAAAGTCAGAATCTACAAAATCAACCAAATCAAGTGAAGTACCCCTTTTTCCATATTCTAATCCAACCCACAATGTACTGTTAATGTATTTAGCACCCATTTTAAAGCAGTCCAATGTTCAGCCCCGGGATTGGACATAAATCTACTTAACATGGATATGGCAAAGGACAAATCAGGCCTTGTACTAATTATTGCATACATAACATATCCTATAACATTAACATAAGGTACTAACTCCATTTTAATCAATTCAGCATCAGTTTTAGGACATTGGGCTTTACTCAACATGAAATGGCTGGCTAAAGGCATAGAGATCAACTTTGACCTAGACATACCAAATTTATCAACCAATTTCTGCAATTATGAATGCTGATGTATTTTCAATGCAAAATTCTTTCTATTTCTATTTATAACCATACCCAAAATTTTCTTAGCAACCCCTAAGTCTTTCATGCTAAATTTAAAACTAAGTTTACCCTTTAGTTCAAGTATTTTATCTTTAGACTGACTTAATAATAGCATATCATCCAGATAAAGCAGCAAATAAATGGGCATGTTATCACTCAAAGAGAAATAAAAACAGTTATCATAATTGCTTCTAGTAAACCCTATGCTTACAATAGATGAGTCAAATTTCTTATACCATTGCCTAGGGGATTGTTTAAGGCCATACAAAGACTTGTGTAAGAGGCATACATGGTTAGGCATTCTAGGATTCACAAAACTAGGGGGCTAACTCATGAATATCTCTTCCTCTAGATTTCCATGTAGGAAGGTTGTGGTTACATCTAATTGCTCAAGTTCTAAGTTGTGGTGAGCAACTACAGAGAGCATCATCCTAATGGTCTTATACTTTACTACCGAAGAAAATACTTCATTGAAGTCCATACCCTCCTTTTGGGTGTAACTTTTGGCTACTAACCTAACTTTATACCTAGGGGGGTCCTTATAAGAGATGTCATCTTTTAACTTAAACAGCCATTTACATTGCATTAGCCTTTTATTTTTAGGTTAAGGAACAAGGGACCAAGTCTCATTTACCACCAATGAATGCATTTCCTCCTTCAATGTTGCCCACCATTTGCCTTTATCCTTCGAATTGACTGCTTCTTCAAAGGATTCAGGTTCTATCATTTGCACTTCAGTACCTACAAGTAAGGCAGTGTATATTAAATCAACATAAGAATACCTTGCTAGGGGTCTTACCTCTCTCCTGGCTCTGTCCCTTGCAAGTTGTTATTGTTGCAAGTCTTGCTGTGGCTCTAAGGTCTCTTCTGGTTCAGCTTCTTCTTCCTGGATAGGATTATTTGGTCTTGTTTCATCTTTAGTTTCTAGTTGGGGTGAGTTAGGTGGCTGGACAGTAGGCTTCACCTTAATTTAGGTAATTTCAGTTAAGGTTGTGGGAGTATCAGAGGTGTTTGGGGCTGCTCCACCATGGTTGGTGCTCTTACATGGGAATACACCTTCATTGAACGCAACATCCCTTCTCACCATGATTTTGACCCCTGGGGATTCTCTATCCCACAATCTATAGCCCTTTCTTCCCTCTTGGTACCCTAGGAACACACACTTGTTCGATCTAGGTTCTAATTTTCCTCCTGCAGTGTGTGCATAGGTTGCACACCCAAAAATCCTCAAATGACTCAATTTAGGCCTCCTACCATACCATTTTTCAATACAGATCTATAGCTGTGGAAGGGCTCCTATTCACTAAATAGGCTATTGTGGTTAAAGCTCCCCCCAAAAAGTATTAGGCAGACTAGAGGTAAAGAGAAAACACCTAACCTTCTCCAATAAAGTCATGTTCATCCTCTTAGCAACCCCATTTTGCTGAGCGGTTTTCCTAACAGTCCTATGCCTTAGGATACCATTCTCAATACAAAAATTATCAAATTCAATATTGCAGAATTCTAAACCATTGTCTGTCCTTAGTGCTTTAACTCTATGATCAACCTGATTCTCTACTAAGAGTTTCCATTCTTTGAACTTAACTAATGCCTAGTCTTTAGACTTAAGGAGAAAACCCAAACTTTTCTTCTATAGTCATCAACAATGGAAAGGAAATAACTATTTCTTCCATGGGATCTGACTTTTTCAGGTCCCCACAAGTTTGAATGAAGATACTCTAAACACTTAGTAGCAAGGTGAGTTCCCTTTTTGAAACTCAACCTGTGTTGTTTTCCCAACACACAATTTTCATAGAAATCTAAAGTAGAAGTGGTGTCCTTACCAAATATCCCTTGGCTATTAAGGATATTCATCCCCCTTTGGCTCATGTGGCCCAATCTTAGGTGCCATTTTTCTGTCATAGAAACATTAGTAGAGACAATAGCAGAATTATGCAGTTCAAAGTTATAACTACCACATAAAATGTACAAGCCATTTTTATTTTTTTTCTCCTTTAAGGACAAGATTCTCATTTTTGTACACAAATAAGCATTCATTTTCAGCTCTATAACTGTAACCAGATTCATCTAGAGTCCCTAAAGATATTAAGTTTCTTTTTAATTCAGGGATAAATATGACTTTAGTCAATTTAACCAATTTCCCACCAGTTAGCCTTAGTGTGATACTCCATATTCCCTTAACCCCACATGCATTATTATTACCCATAAAAACAATTTCATGCTCATATGGTTCAAAATCCTAGAACCAGTTTCTATTAGGGCTCATGTGGAAGGAATAACCAGAGTCCAACACCCATTCATGCACACAATCAGTTTTGACACAGTAAGGACTTCAGGCTCTTCTATATGGGTTTTAGTTGGAGCTAAATTATTCTCAGTATTTCCCTATTTCTGCTTTTTAATCCATTCAAAACAATTCTTCTTTAGGTGACCTGTTTTATTGTAATAAAAGCATTTTCTGGTTTCTCCTTTAGGCCTATTATTTCCTTTCCCCTTTTTTCTTGTTTCTAGGACCATTATTATACTGGTTTCCTTTACTAGATTGACTAGTTTCACCCTTGCTCTTTACAAACAGATTGCTTCCATTCCTTTTTTGGGTTTTTAGTTCAAGTTCCCTTGCTTTTATGCCAGCCACAATTAAATCTAGACTCGACACAGTCCCTGAGTATTGCAATACATTCTTTACAACCAAATAATCATCAGTTAAAGAATTCAGTAAAATCATAGCAAGGCTAATATCTTCTAGTTCCTGATCAATCCCCTTAGGGTCTGCTTGAGAGTTTTATGGTAGTGGTTATGAGGGTAAACCATCGTAGCGGTTTTGAGGGTAAACCACCGTAGCGGTTTTTAAGGGTTTTTAGAAACGATTTTTAAAACACCCAACCTGTGCTTAGGAGTTTATTTTCCAGCGGTTCTGATAGTTTTTTTAAATGATAAATTTACATATATGCCCATAACAAAAGCCTAACAAAAGGTGCAAAATATCAATAATTAATCGTGAAACCAACTGAAATACAACCTTAAAAAATGTTGGTTTTGGAAATTAGGGGTGGGATAATCTGGTTAACCGAACCAAATTTTCGGTTTGGTTACCGGTTAATCGGTTTTCAAATTATCCTTTAATCCTTAAAATTCTTCAATGTTTCATTTAAGTTCCTAAATTCAAAGATTTTTATT